GGTAGTGTACGCCGACGACGCTGATTTTATCTGCCTAGACGAAGTCACTATCCAAGTGATCCTTGATCAAGTACCAGGAACTCTCACCCGCTGGTCACTCACGATGAATATTTTCTAGACCGAAATCACCGAGATCCGCCGTCACTCAAGACCAAGCGGACAAACGCCTCGAACAAGAGCAGCAGAAGAACGATGGCGCTCTGCCCGAAATCTCGGATCCTTACTCGGAGACTCAGAAGACCTGGCTCGACGGAAGACGCTTGCCGCGGCTGCCCTACGACGCCTCTGTACGATATGGCTCCGGTCACAGATATCCACGGACGCGACCAGGATTCGTCTTTACAACTGCTATGTGCTCCCGATTCTCTTGTACAACTGCGGAACATGGGCGCTGACAACCTCGGAGCTACTGCACCTGGAGAGCTTTCATCGTCGACAACTACGCAAGGTCCTGAACATTCGCTACCCGCGTTGAATTGCCAATGCTACCCTCTATGAGATCAGCGGGGAACGACCCCTACGACATCGTATCACGGCGGCAAAATGAGGACTCTTCGGTCACATTCTACGTCGCCCCGACATTACAGCTTTCGTACAAATGCTGGCCTACTTTGCTCCGAGTACCGCAGGTAAGTGGCGCGACCCACCTCGCACAACGCTTCCTCTTGTTCTCGACGCAGACCTCTTCGCAAGTGGCTGTGGTCTCCGACTTCGCAGCGCCCACGATCTTGAACAACTTCGTAAATTTGCTTCTATACGACCAAAATGGAAAAAAAACTTACCACGGCTATCATCGACACGCTACCAGCGACTGGAGACTCGACGTATGCGGACACCACCCTATGCCGCCGACTAGCTAAACTGAGTCGAGCGCAGGCATAATTTGGCTACGCGAACACGTAAACCATTACATTACATTGTCGTACTAAGTAATAATACAGTACGGATAAAGTACTTAACACCTTGCTTACGAACGTCGTATAAGACGACATATTATTTTTGTTACGTCGTATATTACGACATTGCACGAAGGTCATTAGCAAATGGCTCGGAAAAGTTTTTTCAATACTTTAATCAAGTTACCACAAAAATATAATCTGCGAGAGGTCATTTTGCTACAAGTCAAAACCAGGCCAGGGGAAGGGGATCAGCCACGTCGTGAACAGCCACTCATTCGACATTTTGCTGGATGGTGCGCATACGGAATAGTCGACGCGAGAAGCCCGCCGCGCCGGCTGCCGCTACACACGATATTGACTTTGGCCACTTATGGCGGCAGCTTCGGGCGGCGGGGTGGAAGTCCAAGCGTCCGAGTGGCCTCCAGACTGAGTGGAGCTACTCGAGTCCTGACAACACGCACGTCTTCGTGGGGGAGAAATCAGTCGTGGACTACGCGTTCGACAGTGGCTTGCTGGAAGAGGCGGATGCTGATGCTCAAGTCCGAGATGAAGAAGGTGGGGAACTAGACCAAGCAGGAGCTGGTAGTAGTGGTGAAGAGCAACAACACGAGAGGGAAGACGTCGTTCGGCCTTCGCAGATCGACACGAGTGTCCTTCTTTCGCAGCATACAATTGATCGAATGTTCGGCACCCCAAGTGATGATGACATCGAGCTGTCGCAGACTACAGTGAACAGAGCATTCAATCTATCCCCAGGAGATCTACAAGACGGCGGTGCCCGCGAGGCCGCTGCTGGACTGCATTTACTTTCGGAGGCTTCTGGATTAGAGAGCGAGGGTGATGTAGACGAAGAAGAAGCCGCTGCGTCTCAACCTCGATGACGGACACTTACGCCGTTATCAGGCAGAGAGGACGTGAATGTTTTGCTGGATGGGGAGAAGCCGAGTGACTACGAGAACTACAGCTCGGGTGATAGCGACGACGACGGCATGAGTGATATTAACAGCGATTCCGGAGCCGGGATGTCCGAGGAAGATGACGACGTCCTGTCCGACAGTGACGCAGTTGAAATGGACAAGGCTTTCATTGCGGCACTACAGGTGGGCAATAACGCACATAGCAGAACCGCTGCAACGGAGAGAGAGCAGACACTACGAGGAATGCAGTGGACGCCAGTGTCTTCGGAGTACGAGACAGATGCTGCTGCGTACCCTGGACTGGGCACCGAAGAAGCAAGGCCTGTGCCCGACCTGCTGCAATTATGGAGATCGCCAATCCTCACCTTCTTTTATTTCATGCCGAAGTCTATGTGGGTTTCTATCGCGGCTGAAACGAACCGATATGGTCTACAGCAAGCTGGCAAGCGCGCCCGTAACATTCAGGCACGGCAGACTGACCTTCGGCGTGAAACTATCAAGCAGATTACACGTCGTTTCAAGGCTAAGGCAGCATACTCTACACACGAGATTCTTCACGTTGTTGGACTCCTCGTTGCACGGATGCTCTGCCCTCAAAAGAAACGATTTGGTGCACACTGGAGTATGGTGGAAGACGGTGCTGTTCCCGCCGGTCTTTTCGGGCGGTTCATGACGCGTTACAGGTGCCAGCGTATCATGCGAGACTTGCACTTCGTAGACAACACGATTGACCACGGTAACGATAAACTCTGGAAACTTCGCCCCGTTGTTGACAAGGTCCAAGAGCGCTTTTTGCTGGGGTGGTCTCTTTCTGCTAATTTTCGTTTGATGAGGGTATACTGCCGTTCACGTCGAAGCGGAACACGACCCGGATGCTTATGGCCGACAAGCCTCACCGCTACGGGTCCAAACTATTTATGGTCTGTGACGCGCAGACGGCATACTGCCACAGGTACGTTTAAAATTTGTATGTCGTAACTATCTACTTTGTGTTTGCCTGACAACAGTGAATGTCGTAACTATCTAGGTTCGAAGTTTATGTGGGTAAGCGTGCATCTGCTGGTGGACATGACACCTCAGTTGACTTTAAGACTGGAGCTGCAGCCGTGGTACGGAATTTGAAGATTGTTCTTGCCCAGTCTCGTCACAAGTGGCATACCGTCGTGATCGATCTCTACTACTCGTCCGTGCTCCTTGCGATTGAGCTCCTGAGTATGAAGGTGTATGTTATTGGCACGATCATGACTAACCGGCTTGGATTCAACCCGAATCTCAGGGCTAAGAGCAAAGACACGCCCAGTGAGCATACCCCACGGTACATTCTCATTCTCTCGCTCTATCGCCATCCCGACCATGATTTCCTGTGTTTGGTGGGACCGGAAGCCCGTCTATTATCTCTGTACGGGCTCCATTATGGCGGCGTCGACAATTGAGCTAAAAATAAAACGTATCGGTGCGGTTCGAGTGCCGTGCCCCTCTGCTGTAAATGACTACCAGAACTGGATGAGCGGAGTTGATGTCCACGATCAACTCCGTCTCCAGTCGTATTCACTGCAAATGTCGACGAGGTTCACGAAAAATTATAAGAGCCTATTCTTAGGTTTGCTGGACATGGTCATGGTAAATGCGTATCTTACGCACAAAGAGGGGGCCAAGATCAAGGGGATGGCTGCTATGAAGCGCTCAGAGTGGTTTTGCGTCCTTCAAAATCAACTTCTCCAACTCAAAGCCGAAGATTTTGCTGGAGTGGAGGCAACACCGCCTCCTGAGAGCCAAAAGCGCCAGCGCACCCCAGTACGCCTCACGCACGCGCTGCAGCAGTCTGAAGATTGGGTTACCGTTACTGGGGTCCAGAAACGTCGGCAGAGATCGTGCAAGGTCTGCGCGCTCTTGCGTACTGAAAAGAAGAAGTCCTTCGCAACAACGTTCTTTTGCGAACGCTGCTCCGTTGATAATGCGAAATGCTGGTTGTGCAACCGTATTCGACGGGAATACAAGGGCGTTGCGAAGACATGCTATGATATCTGGCATGATGACTTCGACGCCGGGCAAGCTATCCCACCAAACTTAGGGAAGCGCATTGTGCTTTGTCGGCCCGGCCAGAAAGCTGGCCAAAGAAAGAAGACGCGACGGGAGCTTAGACTTGGGCACGATGCTGGCAGCGACGACGGCAACGGTGGTGACAACGAGAATGGTAGTGATGACGAGTGAGCTTGGTTGCGTGTCAGTTGATTAGTGATTTGTTTCAAATACACAGCTTCTTGAACCATCGTACCTTCGTCCTTGCGTTTCTTTATTTAAGTGGACTGCCTGTGAAGCAATTTAGCCATCTGTTGACTGCACTTGCAGTCAGTTACGACATTGAGCAGGCAATACTGTCGCTGAATCCCGTCAGAGTTACGACATTGAAAGAAAAACCTGTTGAAAATTAATGCACCTAACCTCACGTCAAAAAGTGCACCCATACAAATACGTAGTAACATTGATATACCGTATCTTACGACATGCGCTTACGCGTTCTGGGCAAGTACCGTCCGGACGCAAGGTGTTAAGTAAAATCTACAAGAAACATTTATATTTTTTGATTTTATGCGGCTAACGCCAGGGAGCTTTGCATCAATCCATTTGAGTTCTGCGTACCTGTATCACTGGCTCTATTCGTATAAGCCAGGTCTCTTGAGCAGAGCCTACGAAGGAGGAAATGGCTGGCGAAAATTGGCCGTTCGGACTTTATTGTCTAGAGCCGCCCTACGTAAGACACGAGGCCTTACGTAAGAGTCGTGGCTGCCAATCATTAAATTTTACCATCATTACAGCAAACCTTCGGTATAGCCCTACCCGCTCCTTCTTAGGACCAGCCTTTTGAGGTCCAAAGTTTAAGAAACGCACAATAAATGCTACTTTAGTAAATGGGCCCAAAAAGAGTTCGTAAGTTTTGGGATGGTGGAGGCGT